TTCGAGGATGACCCCGCAAGAATGAGATACGCGGAATGTACAAACCTTTATGAACAGCCAGGTGGCTAATAAGCAGGGCTTTAAGCTTTTGCTTGAAATTGCTTATTCAGCTTATTCAGGATTTCCAGGCTTAGTTTTAACGATCATGCTTATTTTGCTTATTTCAATGTATGAAGCTAAGTGAAGACCTTTTAAGTAAAGGGTCAAGAAATAAATTTCTATTAATTTCTGTGTATGAATAGTAGTGTCCAAGGAGTTTTGACTTCTGTTCTGATATCTCACTCTTTCCTTACGAAATAATGGAACGGGCATAAATTTTGTTGAAAACAAGAAAACAAACAAACTTTAGCATACCTTACTGCTTAAGAAAATTTGGCTCAATAAATTTTTCTTGGGATTTTTTTATTCGTCGAACTAAAGAAATGATTAAAAATAATAACATAAAAACAAATCTGGTTTTTATTTATCCGTAACTTCAATTGCATTTTTGCTTGGATACAAAAATTTAAAACCAATGGTTCGTCCCTACGGGAAGGAGAATAGCGAATATTAAAAAAAAATAAAAACGACCAATGCAGATCCCCATTATTTGAGAATATCAAGCAACACTTGTATGTTCATTGAAATTATTCAATCCTTGAAATAAACTGAATAAAAAAACAAAACGTTAAACTGTACTTATTTTTTTGTTTTGCGAGCATATTTGCAAGCATATTTATCAATGTGTTCAATGTGTGCTTACCTAAGCGCTTAAAATGGATTGTTTTGTGCTTATTTTCTTCGGCCCTGCTAATAAGGCCCTTTGATCTCATCTGGTAACATCATAACTGGTGATGGAGTGCATTAATAAGTCGGGCATACTTGAGCTGACCATCTGATTAGGAGTACTTTAAAGGGATTGTAATAAAATGCTAAATCCTAACCTATCTTAACTTCAGTTTATTCGGCGATCACGCGTCATCGGACCCGAAGCGATGCGAGAGCAATTAAAAACGTATCTTGCGGTGACCAGAGCCAAGCACCGAGTGATCAGTGGCCTAATGGAAGCATCAACATGGCTTGCATTAAGTGTATATTACTACCGTAGCACTTAATCCCAAGTGATTCGATATTTTTGCCTCAATCTTCCGAACGAGAGAACTGTCTTGGTAGTGAGGAATTTCTGAAAGGCGTTTGACACCGTTTGCCTTTGCACGCTGCTGGAGAACGTTTAGGCATCATCTCTACCACCGGCACTAAAACGGTGGAAGGCGAAATACCTGAGAGGTCGACAGTCGTCAGTAAAAACCACTTCCAGTGAAGAAGCAAGGCAAAGCCTCGGATGAGACCCCCTTTATGATGACGACCACGGCAAACGTTTAAAGGACTACGATTTGAGGGCATGCACCTGGAATGTCCGGACCCTTAATGGGGAAGGTGCCTCTGCCCGGCTGGTTGATGTCCTCGTAAGGACAAAAGCTGACATCACCGCCATCCAAGAAATGCGTTGGACGGGGCAAGGCAAACAATGTATAGGGCTTTGCGACGTCTACTACAGCTGTCATGTAAAGGAGCGCAGATTCGGAGTTGGATTTGTGTTGGGAGAGAGACTCCGTCGCCGAGTACTGTCGTTCACCCCGGTGGACGAGCGTCTAGCCACAATCCGCATCAAAGCGAGATTCTTCAACATCTCGCTCATCTGCGCCCATGCCCCGACGGAAGAGAAGGATGAGGCATCCAAGGATCTCTTCTATGAGCGCTTGGAGCGCACGTACGAGCGCTGCCCCCGTCATGATATCAAAATCGTGCTTGGTGACTTCAATGCCAGGGTGGGCAAAGAAGGAATCTTTGGAACCACCGTCGGAAAATTCAGCCTCCACGACGAAACGTCCGACAACGGATTGAGGCTGATCGACTTCGCCGGGGCCCGAAACATGGTAGTATGCAGTACTAGGTTCAAGCATAAAAAGATCCATCAGGATACCTGGATGTCTCCGGATCGAAAAACGAGAAACCAAATCGATCATGTTGTGATAGACGGAAGGCACGCTTCCAGTGTTTTAGACGTACGCACACTCCGAGGCCCAAACATCGACTCGGACCACTATCTTGTTGCAGCCAAGATACGCACCCGCCTATGTGCAGCAAAAAATGTGCGCCCAAATATGCAAGGAAAGCTTAACGTCGAAAAGCTGCCATTACAACAGACAGCCAGCGCTTTCGCTACTCGACTCTCACACCTGCTCTCAGAGAGCACTCTTCAACAAACCGACATATGCGAGCAATGGAACCACATTTACCGCTCATTAAGTACCGCCGCCGAAGAAGTAGTCGGATTTCAGCGAGCCCGAAAGAACAACTGGTACGATGAGGAGTGTCAGGAAGCTGCAGAGAAAAAAGATGCCGCCTACAGGGCCACGCTGCGATCGGGCGCAACGCGCGCTATGTGGGACCGCTATAGGGATCTGAAGGGGGAAGCGAGACGTATTTGCCGCAACAAGAAGAGAGAGGCCGAAATACGTGAGTGCGAAGAGCTTGAAATGCTGGCCGACAGGAGGAATGCCCGAAAATTTTACCAGAGAGTTAGGCGACTTACGGAAGGTTTAAAGACCGGGGCGCACTCCTGTAAGAACAATAATGGCGACCTAGTAACTGATGTCCAGAGCGTACTTAAATTATGAAGGGAACACTTTTCCGCCCTACTAAATGGTAGCAGCACGGAAAGTTGTGGAGAAGAAGAACCCGAGCCCGCAGTCGATGATGACGGAGTCGACATTCCACCGCCTGACTATGACGAGGTACGTATAGCAATAACGCGGCTGAAAAACAACAAAGCCGCTGGAGCTAACAGCCTGCCAGCTGAGCTATTCAAGTACGGCGGCGAGGAGTTGATAAGGTGCATGCATCAACTCTTGTGCAGAATATGGTCAGATGAACGCATGCCCGACGACTGGAATTTAAGTGTGCTCTGCCCAATCCACAAGAAAGGTGACCCCGCCATTCGCGCCAACTACCGCGGGATCAGCCTTCTAAGCATAGGTTACAAGGTCTTATCGAGCGTATTGTGTGAAAGACTGAAGCCCACCGTCAATGAACTGATTGGGCCTTATCAGTGTGGCTTTAGACCTGGCAAATCCACCATAGACCAGGTATTCACAATACGCCAAATCTTGGAAAAGACCCGCGAGAAAAGGATCGACACTCACCACCTATTTGTCGACTTTAAAGCCGCTTTTGACAGCACTAAAAGGAGTTGCCTATACACCGCTATGTCTGAATTTGGCATCCCCTCAAAACTCATACGGCTGTGTAAAATGACGTTGAGCAATACCACCAGCTCCGTCAGAATTGGAAAAGACCTCTCCGAGCCGTTCGCCACAAAACGGGGTTTCAGACAGGGCGACTCCCTTTCATGTGACTTCTTTAATCTGATGTTGGAGAAGATAATAAGAGCTGCAGAACTGAACCGCTCAGGAACAATTTACTACAAGAGCGTGCAATTGCTGGGTTATGCCGATGACATCGACATTATCGGTAACAAAAACCGCGAAGTCTGTTCTGCCTTTTCCAAGTTGGATAGGGAAGCAAAGCGCATGGGTCTGGTGGTAAACGAGGACAAGACGAAGTATCTCCTGTCATCAAACAAACAGTCAGCACATTCGCGCCTTGGCACCCACGTCACTGTTGACAGTTACAATTTCGAGAAAGTAAAGAATTTCGTTTACTTGGGAACCAGCATTAACACCGACAATAATGTCAGCATTGAAATCCAACGTAGAATCACTCTTGCCAACAAGTGCTACTTTGGACTGAGTAGGCAATTCAGGAGTAAAGTCCTCTCTCGACGTACGAAAACCACGCTCTATAAGTCACTCATCATGCCCGTGCTGGTATATGGCGCAGAAGCATGGACAATGACAACATCCGATGAGGCGGCTCTTGGGGTGTTTGAGAGAAAGATTTTGCGGAAGATTTACGGTCCTTTACGCGTTGGCGACGGCGAGTACCGCAGACGATGGAACGATGAGCTGTATGAGCTTTACAACGATATGGGCATAGTGCAGCGAATTAAAATACAGCGGCTCCGCTGGCTTGGTCATGTCGTTCGAATGGACACCGACGCTCCAGCTCTGAAAGTATTCAACTCGGAACCCGCTGGTGTTAGCAGAGGAAGAGGGAGGCCCCCACTGCGATGGAAAGATCAGGTGGAGAAGGACTTGGCTTCACTTGGCGTTTCCAATTGGCGTCAGTTGGCACAGAGGAGAAACGACTGGCGTGCTTTGCTGAACTCGGCCAAAATCGCTTAGGCGGTTAGAGCGCCAAAGAAGAAGAAGAAGAGAAGCACTTTCTGGTCGGTCGCTAACGCAAGAAGTATTCAAACGTCAATCATGTCAGAAGGTATCTCCACGAAATCAAGGATGATATCCAGATATACTTAGCCCAACTAATGCACCTCATAATGCACCCACAGGCCATAAACGACATTCATAGTGTGTTTTTTTATCTGCTTCAGATGATCTCGCCCCTCGCATGTCCTAAATGGAGCCCAATCTCATTCATCATCATCGCAGACCAAGAGCTTCAGCATACTAAGGTCTGAACACTGTATCCGACTGAATACTTAAATTTACAGACTCGACCCCGACATACCAAAATTATGTCCAGCTTTTGAAGGTTCCTACCTCACCTACCCACTCAGCTAACACCTCTCTTTCTTTAACGAGTTGAGCTGGATAACAACGGTTGATTGACCAGCCGAGTAGGCAGGGCTTAGTAGTGCCGCTACAAAACCAACAAAAAAAACCGTATCTAAGTTTTCTCCTCTTCAACTGTCCTTACAATTTAAAAATATGTGTCTCGATGGCCAACTTTTTTTGTTTTTTTTTTTGGATTACGAACCAAAAGGAAATATTATAAATTTTTTTCTGGATTTTTCCTTTTTTCTAATTACCCCCAAAATACGTCAAAATTCCTTTCGTATGCATACATATACATATGTATATTTAAAATCTTGTACTCACCTATATTCATGCGACATGAAGAATGTACCACGAATTGTGCAACCATTTGGATTTTTTCGCTTTCCATTGAAGATTTTTAAGTAATGATCATAGTTATTCAAATTAACAGCACCATCGAATGTCAGCATGATTATTTGAGGAATCTGTAATGCAGAAAAATTACAACAGGATTGCATAAAGAAACGGTAATTACAATGAAAATGATGGTAATTAAAAAAGTTATTCTGCGCTTCGCCTGCTATGCAAAAAAAAAATAAAAATTACAGAATCAATCAGTTGGAAAACAGAACGCTACACCGACATTTGAACGAATGAATACACTGCTTTGTAACATTTATAGCCCTCGGACTTACTTAATTAGATGTTCGCTTAGTTGGTAGTTTTTGCTGAGCAAGCAGTAGTGGCGAATGCAGGACAAGAAAGTGTGACAAAACGCAAAAAAGAAAAAGAAGCAGACAGAAATGTGGCGCGCTTAAAAACGAAAAAAAAAGTTTAACTGTATATAACACTGCAAAAAGTGAGACCGCCAAGAAGGAACTATAAAATATAAAAAAAGCAGTATGTATAAGAAGAAAAGAAATTTATAAAAAGAAGTCACATCAATTGCAAGTAATTTTAAAATAATCAGCACAACATAATTTATTGCTCGCTTGTCGGTGCGTTTGTATGTATGTAAGCGACGAATCTAGTTTCGGTGCGCGCGCGTGGAGTACGCGCAGACTTCATGGCAGTCACACTCCTCATCCCTCACCACACCACTGTCTGCGCGTTGTGCTGCTGTGCCGCTTGTGGTGGTTAGTCGGTTGTCCTTTTGGGAGTCTACAGCCTGACCGCATAGCATTGCGTTGTAAAAGTTTAAAGTACGACAGGAGCACGACAACAATTTGCTAGAGTAAAGTACGAGTAGTAATGTACATACCGCAAGACGAGGAATGTGGCAACGTCCGCACGACTGGTAAGCGAAAGTGCGGAAATGTAAGAGAAAATGAATTGCGCTGATCGGAAATGGTAAAATATCAATTTCGCTTAATACATAACAGATATATATGAGCACATTTTTTATTTACCAATACGACCAAGAACTTTTGAAAAAAAAAAAACGAAAAGAAAAAAATCAAAACGAGTTCAATGAATGAGTGAGTGAATTGAGGGAGACCGGCTGCTGTTGTGGTTGTAGTACTTTAAATTGGAATTGAACTTAAGCCATTGCTTAGTTATTTGTTGTCGTTGGCTTTGGAAAAAGTTTGAGACATGTAGACAATACCACGAAGGAAGGTTATGATATAAATAGATATTTAAGCTTTATTTTTGTTTGTACTATTTTTCAATAGTCGAGTCCTGAGTTTTCAATCAAAGGCACCGCAGCCAAAAGAGCGTGTAAGGTTTTATATAATAAACCTCAATTAAATTGCAAAGAAAGAAAGTTTCGGTGTGGCCAGTACGACTTATTTGGCAGCGCCTGTTCACCAGTGGTTGCGCACGCAAGTGGGCGCCTGTCTTGGAGCAAGCGATTCCTTATATAAAAGGTGTACTCAAAAAACTCTCCTAGATTCTAGGCTGTGGCTGCGCTTAGGACTTGCCATGTAAAACAATGTGGCAATGAAAAGGAAAACAAAGCCTCTTGACAATGGCAATAGGGAAAGTGGGTATGCCCGGCTGGCTGATGTCTTCGAAATGACAAAGGCTGAGATCACCGCTGGATGGAGCAAGACAAGAGCAGCGATGCGGCTGAAGACGCACACCGTGCCCTTTTTCAATTTTAGCGCGCCAACAATGGTGATATTGGCGTCTGGTGATGTAAGTGATGACCTGTGTTCACATGCAAACGGTTATCCTTCCGAACTTTCTAGCCTAACTTTCTCCCCTAAAAAACCCTCGGCAACCATTTTTACCTCGCTCTTGGCCGAAAGGTTCAAGCTACAGAAGGTTATTCACGTCGGCGGCGAACTAATTTCGATGGTAAATAACCTGAAAATTCACCGAGTAACCATCGCAATAGTCAAAAAAGTACAGAGCAGCAACAAAGTCTTCCAATGGCTCGCCGTCAGCGGAAAGCCAAAGAAACGCTATTGCCAACATACAAGGCAATTGGTCAATCGGTTAAAAACTATGCAATGCCAATGTGGTCGCCGGAGAAAAGTATGACGCAGCTTCACACGTGCCACAAGACAATACTTCGGACAATAACAGGATGCCTTCTGATGGCGCTTGAACATTACATCACAGTGAGGCCCAACCGATCCCAATTAAGAGGTAAAATATTTATTATTCTCTGTAAGCGGTTCTTAGCAGGGTGCTACAAAAGTGAGCACCCGAACAGACACTTGCTCGATGCGGAGCGCTCACACAGGCATCTCAGAAGACTGCACTGTGAGGGGAAGGACGAGGTGTGTTACCGCCTATACAGACTCCCGCCCTGTGAATGTCGTCATCGATGTCCAAATGCTACATGTGGACAAGAGTGAGCTTCGATTGCCGCGAAAGATCCCCATTACTTTGGCCCAATTACGGTCTGGATATTGTAGGCGTCCAAAGAGTTTCCTATCGATACTATGTAGAACTCAAAATCCTTAACGAGTGGCCAGCATGCGCAGATTCCGCCCACCATACCAACCACCTCTTTGTATGTCCACTCAATCCAACTCAACTAACGTCCCTTCTCTCTGGACCGACCCCGTCAAAACATCACATTAACAACAGCAACAAAATAAGTTTTGAGGCCACTTTAGTTATCTAGTCCACTTGGGATTGACAAAGGAGTATCACAGACAGATTTCGAGCTTTGAAGTCATGCTCAAAGTAAAATATATGATGGGGAGAAATGTACCAAATGTTTGCAAATCAATATCGATATATCCAGCAACAAGAAGAAAATGTAAGCTTGTATTTGTTGTATTTTAGAGGTGAAGTTATATGGACGTGAGATTGATTATTTAATACGACGAGGGCCAGACAAGCACTTTTCAAACTTATTTGCTCGCGCTCTCTCTTTTCCTCTCTATCCAAAGACATTACTAATGACACGCCAATAAACGCATGTTTGCTTAAAAAAATTCACATTTCCATTCATTACGAAGAGCTAAGTAAATAGCATTAACACTATCCACCAACTTACATACATACATATATACTTATGTACATATGTATTTTTATGAAATGGAAAGCTCTCGTAAATCGCTCAATTCAACGACAATCGAAATCCACAAACTGTGGTCGGCGTAACTCAGCTGCTTTGCGTTTTTCAATAGCTTTTTCATAAATGTAATCAGCGCTTATAATGCAGCAATAATGCATTATTCACCAGCTGACCATAATGCAGAGAGTACACAAAGAAATATTGCAAAAAGTAAGTGAGTTATGATAAGGGATTGCTTAAGAATCGCCCGCACACAAATAAAACGCATTGATGATTTCATGCATTTCCTGTGGTTTTTATAGTACGAGTAAGTATCTACTTTTCTTTGCTACTCGTTTCGCGTTCATCACACACAATCATTAGGGGTATTCTCTGAGTCTTGCAAAGCCCTTGCATGGTGCACAGACTGCACGAATTGCACGGTAAAAACCGGTTTTCGTATGGGACAGCTTTGAAAACCGTGCAATCCGTGCACCGTGCAAGGGCTTTGCAAGACTCAGAGAATACCCCTATTATTTTTATGATTTTCTTGTTCGTTTTTTTCCCCCCCAACGTGATTTATTCTCGAGACGGAAGTTCGCGTTGAAATATGCCATTCAATATTATGCAAAATTCAGGACAAATAAAGCGCGCCATCAGCATATAACCAGTTCAATTCGTTAGCAAGTGTTTGGTTGCTTGGCTGGTTGGTATCTGGCTGATTGTCGTCCGCCGTTAAGTATGCAATGAAAATGAGGAAGCTTTTGCTTTTGTATGTACAAATCTACGTCTATAGCATATGTATGAATGGCTGTAGAACAAAATGGTATAAAAGATTTGTGTTGCACTTAGCGACGTGCAACTGTCAACCGAAGCGCAAATGGAAGTGCAATAACAAAAGAAAAAAAAGAAAAATTGAAAAAGAATGAAAAGAAAATCGAAGGAAAACATTGAAGCATAGAAATTGCGGTACTTCTTTCTATTCTGTAGCCGATAATAGTGTGAATTGTAGCACACACTCCACAGGCGGCGTTGTCATTAATCGTTACTTGTGGCGTCACCTTGTGTTTGTTGCTTTTGCACTGACTGCACAACCAACTTGCAATATTTAATGGCCGAACGGATATACGTACGTAGTCGATACATATACATATATACTTACTATACGCAATTGCGCGCGCAATTTTCGCGTGGTGCTATTCTTTTTGTGGATTGTCGCTTGGCTTTGGTTGGAGATTGAACTTGTAAACGATTTCTGGTGTTAGTGAAAATAAAGTGGTTTGCGTAAAGCAGCAGAATAATACTTAGCGAGTGAAAGATTTGATATATTCAAGGAAGTAGATGTTGCAATTTCAAGGGATTTAATTTTTTATAGCCTTCCATTGCCGTTCAATAGAAAGGAGATGGAAAGATGTAACACATTACCGTTAAATTTTCCTATTGTTAATGCTCTATTTTTCGTTTGATCCCCTTAGTCTGTGCTCGTTTTGTTTGGTTAGTGGTGATACATTAATCGATTTTAGAAGGCAATATGGTGTTGATACTTTTTTTTAAGAGGTTTCCTCTTGCTTTGGTTAAGAGAGACAGGGCAATGGGAATCGGGATTGCTGGGTCACTCTTGCATTCTGAAAAAATATAGCTTTCTTCCGGGCTGTACAGACCGTTGTGTAGAAACTCTGGTTCCGTATAGAAACTTGGTCATGAAAACCCCAAGCAGAGAGGAATGGGAATAAAACTACTATACCCCACTCGGTAGTATAGTAATTTTTAGAACCGGTTCAAAAATGAGCGGCGGAGTGGGAGGGGGTTGAGGTTTTTTTTCCCGAAGCCCTGCCCTGAGCCTGGAGGCTGTAAATGAACTTCGTACTGATTTAAAAGGTAAAGAGGTGTCCTTTAGTGACAGCCGGGTAGCAATTAAAGCTGTTAGCTCCGTCACAATTAAATCAAAAATTGTGCTGGACTGCCGCCGATCTGTTGCAGAGAACTGTGCAGAACAGTCTAAACCTAATTTGGGTACCCGGTTATAAG